CTTCCGTGTCCTTTCAAGCTTGAAAATTTATTTGTATTTACACAGACTCGGAATAAAAAGAGCCCAAAGACTTTTTAATCATTTATATCATAATTAATGACGGATATTATGCCCTATTATATCGGCAAAACTTTCACCATTTTACCAAACCGTATTTAATAATACATATTAACCAATATATATATATATATATATATATATATATATATATTAAAAGATACGGATGCTGGCTACATTATTTGTAATTAATAATTATCCAACATCTTAATAGTAACGTAAAGTTAACGATAAAAATCCAATACTTATTAATTTTATTACATATTATTTTATAAAACTTGATAGACCATACACCATTCATATATCCATACATCATATCTAATGTGTGCAGAAATTGATTGATTTTTGCATATTGCATATTGTAATTTGATTAATTAAAAAAAAAAATAATAATAAATAAAATAAATAAATAAAATAAATAAACAAATAAATAAATACTAATCCCTATCACCTTCTTACAATTTCCTACATAGACAATAATTTTCCGCCTAAGTAACGAAACGGATGACTAATGCAGTCTTTCGAACGCTCTCCTCCAGCCAGTATTGCACACGCCTACTCCGGGTTTACTCGATGTGCTTTGATTGTACAGTGAGTTGAGGAGGTCCGTAGTAGAGCAAAATTCAGTAAGCAGAGGTGAATGTACCGCGACGAGCGGACGTTTGTCGGAAGATTATCGCCGAGCCCAATGAGACTTTTGCAACAATCAAATACGTTTGGAGCGGCCAAACATTTTGTCCCGGCATCGTCATTGAGCTGCACTCGGCGTTAACCCGAGGACAATTGAAGCGCAATATCGGCATTCGTCCACTTGACAATGTAATAACGAGTGATGTGGCGAGGATTGAGCGCCGGTAGGGCCGGATAATTGCGCCAAGTAAGAATCGCAGAGAAGTGGCAGAAGTGCAGGGAAGGAGGATCGGCGTTGAAAGTGGCCAGGAACGGACGAATATAAGTGGCGAGTCCCGGCGAGCGCCAGACGGTCGTTAAGGTGGCCGAGAACTTAACAATTGCGTAATTGCCTGAGCGGAGACAAGTGCAGGATGTTCTCGAAAATGACGGAGGCCCGTCTGTTAGGAAAGTTGCGAAAACGCGGGGCGTCGAAGATTGATCTCGCGGAGAGTTAAAGGATGAGTGGAATGTCTGTCTCGGGAAGTCGACGGTCTGGCTGTACGGTCTCGTGGTGATGTGGTCTTGGCCGGCCGAGGTTGGCGGTTGGGGTGGGGGTGGGGGTGCATTGGTTAGTTCTTAATCTACGATAAGGGAAGTGCTCGAGTAAAGTTGTTTCTTGAGTTTGCGGGTGCAAGTATCGGCTGACTCTTGGCAAATCTTGGTCGAACTACTTCATCGACAAGAGCAGTAACGACGCTTCAAAGCCCTTTAATGGGGCTACAAAGACAAGTACTTTCGAGTGAGCGTGCGATTAGAATTACGCGCGATTACGATTAGATGATAGAAGGAGGCCGAAACTCGCAATCTCGCGCGAGACACGATCGAGGCTTTGGCATCGGCGAGTATTAAAAACACGAGCTTATAGAGCATTGAAGGCTAAGTGCAAGTTATAACGTAGAGTTATGGATGTGCCGAAAGGTATAAATATTAAGCGACTGAATGTGGTGAAAGGACATTATTGATAATATGATTGCTGAGTAAAGTATCGAGGCGCATCTTTGCGAGATTGCGCAAAGTGCCACGAATAAATTTGCACATTTCGTAAGTCAGTGG